AGGTGAATTAAGGCATGGGCTCCAAATGATTTTCTCCAGAACCAATTGCAGTGCAGTTTTCGCATATAAAGAGCGTCAGAACTTTATTTACCAACAAGACAATCGTAACAGGACAGAAAGTGTATGTCCCTTTCATTCACCACGACAGTCACTGGAACATTTGTATTACACAACAACCATAGAGTACGGTGCTAGAAAATCGAATTTAAATACATTAAACCATCATAACTGCTTTTGCAAGTAATTATAAGTACGGTAGTTTCATAGAAGGATTAAGTTCAACGGCAATCGGAATGTTTACTTTTCAACCAAAGTGGCAGAGACCAAGAGAATAAGAGGAAAAATAAATTATATTATTATTCATTCAAAATATTTTCCCGATTCTGATTGGCTAAAAGCCCACGTTTAATTCACCATAACCAGTTACTGATGACCAAATTTGGAAGAATTTTGTGTTTAACGAGGAAATGATGTCAAAAATACAGCGTTTTCGCAGGTTAAGGCACCGTTAACCGAGAAGACCTGGGGACGAGGTGGAGTTGTTTTGGTTGGGAACTTGAAAAATGGCGGACATTTCACTCGTTTCAAGAGTAAGAACTAGGCGAAAAAATAGCTAAATACATGGCAAGAACAGCAAGAAGACAACTCGAAGGGCGACATCTGCTATTTGAAGAATATTTGCGGAGCCGGGCAAACTAAACGTGCATTATCGAAGATGAACTTAACATCGATGGATCGATGGAGGTAAGCATGTTTTAGCCATGTTTTTAAACTAGGAATTATTTTGAATGAATAATAAAACAATTATTGAATTCGGCTTTCGTATCATATGAAGAATTATGGAGAGCTCGGAGGATGTTATCCACCTGGCCTACGGCCTCGATAACACCCTCCTCGATCTCCATAATTACTTCGGCGGAGCGCGAAGTAAAGGATTCGCGACGCTCAGGAATGTATCAAAGTTACCATTATTTGACAAGATTGGGCATGCAAAGTCTGTAGGTTTTCGGTTTTATTGGGCTATTTGACGAAGTGAGAGCCGAATTAGTTCGAGATATCTCGAGATCACTTCGATTTCGTTGATTTATTCTTTAACTTTTTCGAGGAAGAAAGAATTATTATTTTGGCTTTCCCAGGGTTTGAACCGACTCACCTGTGTGACCTGTCAGATCACAGGAGACTCTAAGTTGAGGGATTAGCCGATTGCGCTACTGCGACCCAAGGTAGTTTGGAATCTGAAAAATAGTTATGAAATGATGCACTAGTTTCGGGACAAGATTAGGCGTGCAAGTTCGTGACTTTTCGGCTTGTTTCAACTATTTCACGAAATGAGACCGGACTACTTTGTGATATCTTGAGGTCACTTCGAGTTTAGTCTTTAATTACTCGAGGAATAAATAGAGGATATTTCGTGGCCGCGCAGAGACACGAAATTTCTCTTAGAGTGTTGAAAAACATTTCACGAGTGAGCCCTCCTTTCGAACTGTTTTATGATGAATTTAAAGTTACAAAGTGCTGCACAAAGACATTTTGTCTTTGTTGAGCGTTACGTAGTAAAATTACTTTCATGCGTTGCGTGACTTTCTCGAACGTTCTCTTCGTTTTTGGATTACCATGAATAATTAATTAGGGCATGTTTACACATTTCAGCATGAGTCAGCAGATTTGCATCAGTTACTGAAATCATAAAATATGTCGAAACGCTACTACTATTCGCCCGTTTAGTATTTTCTAGAACCTTATGCCAAACGGTATACAAGTTCCAAGCGAGGTCTTTTGACGAACTAAGTTTTTTTCCCACGAGCTGGACTGCTGTGTTTAGTCAAGTGTGACGAAGGTCGATTTTCAAGTTCTATGTTTACAAGTTGGCGGAAGCCGTAAGATATCTGAAGTTCAAGTGAGAGTTTGTTATTATTGGTAGAGGCTGTTTAGTTGTACTTAAGTTCAAGTCAAGTTTGTGTTGGCGGATGCTGTGTTTTAAAGCTCTGAAAAGGCTATGTTCCTTAAACTTCCTTGTGTTAATCCGACATTCCTGCGTGCTGATAGTCAGTGAATAATGATATCCTCAAAACATTCGAACTCCTTACCCATACCTTACATATCTTTAATCAGTACATGAGACTGCTATGGTGTTTTTGAAGCCTGATGTGACTAAGAAAAATAGAGAATTCTTTTTTCACTGTTTATTTTGTTAGACTTGTTATTCACCGCCAGTAACCTCATATTTGACTTAGGTCTAAACGTTTAGACCCAAGTCAAATTTAGAAGGATTTGTATGGAGTCATCAGAGCATAACTGGGCTAATATCTCAGAGACAATTTGTCCCGAAATGCTAGTTTTTGGCAAGTAGGCCTCTTGGATGTTGCTCTTTTCAGAATATCCTGACAAATCCCATAATTTCACAAATTAACACCTTACTCTTACCATACCGTAAAATTCCGAAAATAAGCCCCTCCAAATATAAGCCCCTCAAACCCGTAACGCAAAAAACCCTTCGTTAAATCACACCTCCGAATATAAGCCCCTGGGAGCTTGTACTTGGAAAGTGCCCTCAGATACAAAATAAAACAGAGCAAAAACGGTACAGTAACATATACAGTTTTGTATTTGCTAAAGAACTATTTCGTGTCTGCCAAGTGTTTGTAGTCAGAAAGTGTCACAGTTAATTGCTGTTTGCGTGGTTCCTCTTCACTCTTGGCCTTGACTTCCTCGGTCCATATGGACAAAGTACTTGTATGGCCACGTTTTAGAAAGGTCTACGTCTTCAAGGCGAGTTTCTGTAAAAAATTTCTGCAAATTATTGACATAAATTTCCTTTCAACTATAAGCCAGCCCAATCGATTTTGAGACGCAAATTTCCCTCCAAGTATAAGCCTAGCCGATTTTGAAACGCAAACTTCCCTCCGTTTATAAGCCCCTCCGAATATAAGCCCCTCCAAAAATAAGCCCCTCAAAAAGGGCCTTTGAAAAATTTAAGCTCCGGAGCTTATTTTCGGAATTTTACGGTATTTCATTTCTTACTATTCCTCCGCATTTACAATTAATCAGTTCCACAACCACGACGCCGAAGTGTACGCTCCTTAGCGTCTTGTTGTTCATAAGATACTCAGCCTCATTCATTAATTGTTAAATAATCTGAGATAATTCAGCCAAAAGGTCGAAAGATGATGATTGATGTTCGTGAAAACGAGAGTTAGAACAATACAATTGTGTTGTCGGGACCGAGAGAGGTGTCCATAATAGCGGGAGTTTGTTTCAGTCAAATATCTGTAATTCTCGCCGAGTATTCAGCAGCTGTCCCTATTAGCGGGGTGTTTATAATAGCGAGGTGACCGTAAGGCGAGAGTTGACTGTATTTATTTATTTACTTTTTGATCATATTTTCCCCCTTGGCGTGTTTGCCTTTATTCAGAATTCTGACCCTTTACAGCCCCGCGAGATTTTTGCGATAGCGTATTTCTAGTATGTAGGTAATATCTTCCCTTTCCGAGTTTAAAATTCGACTTTCTCGACTGCCAGTTTTTCCCTTGGACACCACCATTTTGAAACTTTCATTACCAGCATGCGCAAGGAGTCTTAGTTTCCAAGTTCTTGGCGGACATTATTTGTTATCGACAACTAAAATATTCCAGTGTGTAGAACGGTTGCATCGGACATAGTTAGCGATCGATGACTTTTTCTTGTCGATAAAAGATAGTTGTCGGTAACTTAATGTCTCGTCTATGGAGGCCCTAAAATATTCGTTGTGATGTCCAAGATTTGAACGAAAACTTGTCGAGGGAAAACACGTTAAATTTGCGAAAAAGAAACGTGAAAATACTATCATCATATACAGAAAATACCGTATATTGTCCAGATGAATAAGTAGGTTAATTAAGAAAATATTAGGGGTCGCGCATGAAGGAGGAAAGCTGTCTCGGGTCGGCGAGTAATCCCTAGCAGAGCGTTTACAAGACAGTACGTAGGGTAACCCTCTTGCTAGGGTAATCCTAGCAGTCGGGTAAGAAACGAAGAAATGTGCGAGTGCTAGGGTAACCCTAGCACCAGAGTTGCCTTCCCTCCTTGTAAACAGGGCCTATAATTTAACCTGTATGCGCATTGTATGACACCCATGGGACCTTTATCGCTGATGTTCATTTTATGATCTTTTGCATATGAGAGTGAGGTGAAAACTTTTATTCATGCTCTGTAGTTTCATTTAATATTTTTGTAATTAAGTTCCTGTTCTAACTAAATTAATTTACATGGGAATATGTCTATGTCGAAAACTAAAGGAAGAAAAAAATGCCGCTATATTACCCTACGAGCAGAGGTTTCTTTATTATATGTGTACTGAGATTTACTATAATATAATTTGACAGATAAAAATCATCTGTTAAAAATTAATGGCAATTTGATCGATATCATGTTTTTGGCGAGATAATTTTTCTGAATATTAACGTATGACCAATCACCGGCCGCAGACGAAAAACTTCACTAGTGAAAAAATCGTATCGGTTTTCCCGCCTTTCACTGTCCGCTTTCACTGAGAAAATTAGCATTTAAGTCATGGCGTCGGCGTCGAGCATTTCAAAGTTTCAACAGAGGAATTTAAAGAATTTGTTATTGCCTTCAACAATAAATAACGTATTCTACTTCCACAATCTTTGATACACTGAATAAATTCTATTCGATCGTTTATATAACATCAGATAAATACGTCAGACTCATTCTGACAGTACAATAACATTGCTAATTAACTCAGGGGGAATTCCTACAAGAAGTGTCCATGAGGATACGTTCCAGTGTGCTTTTTCGGTTTCCCTCTCTCTCCTGTCCCCGCCCTCTCTTTGTTGAGCAACACCAAGAGCTCACCAACGATTATTAGCGTAACTAAGTGCCACCTTATCCATCCCATTTATTTTAGGGGAATAGTCCTGTTTAAATTTGCCAATTAACCTGATTTTGATGTTTCTTGCGTTTGATTTAGTTCCTCAACTGGCTGAAAATACTGACCAGAGATGACACTGCAGCCGTTCAGTGACGAACAATTGAATTTCTTCAAGTTCTCGTCGTTAGTGTTAAATGAATTCCCAAAAGCCTTACGGCAGACCTTTAAAACCATGTGGGACAACACCTATGGAGGTCGCCCTGGTTTCCACCTCTGGGATGATTCATCTGCTGTGCGAAATTTGTTTGCCACTGCAGAGGGCGGCAGGACTAAAGTTCCTATTGGCCAGTCTTACAATGAATGGGATTGCACCAATCTGTTCCAGGCTACAATATTTTCGAGGTCTTTTGCATTATCAGCCAGCACAGGATCCTACTCCACGCTTAGTGATTTGTACGTGAAACCCCGTGCAATTCCTCATGGTAGTTTCCATGCATGTGTGCTCAGCCCAGGTGGAAACAATGCGGAGACCTTTGCACTTGCCATAGATCAGCTTCGTCTTCTTAGAAATTCACTTTGTCACTCAGCAAGTTCTAACATGAACAAACTCACCTTTGACCAGCGCGTGAATTACGCCAAAGATGCGTTTCAAGCCCTTGGTCTCTCAACAGCCCCAATCGAAGCCGTTGGTAGTTTGACAGAGTCGGACTTTCCTACAAATGAAGTTCGTGCATTGGAAACGCGACAACGAGACGAGACTCGAGCGTACATCAGTTTTCTCGAGGAGGTGAACTCAGATGTTGGTGAGGTAAAAGCGTTATTACAGGCATTAAAAACAGGACAAGAACAGCAGTATACTGCGAACAAAGAATTCGTAACTAGGTTGGAGAAGAAGATGGATGAGTTGAAAGAAGGACAACGCGAACGTGATGCTCAAAGTAAAAATTCAGGTATAAGTAAAAAAAGAACATGGAAAACCTAACCGAGATACATGTAGATTGTACTGAGGTGGGCCTTTGAAGTCATTCAAACCATCCAGTTAGTTAGAGCGACACTGTATTAAATAATTGACGATGGGTGTTAGAATTTTAACAGAAACAAGGAAAACCTGCAAAGCAAGTGTTTCCGGGCGAGTTTCTTTGCTCACGTTCCAACGTTCGCCACAAACTCGCTTGAACACGGTTGCTAAAAAAGGCTATCTCCTGTATGACAGGCTTTCGCCCCTTATTGTCTCCTTATGACACCACTTTAAAAGTTTGCAAGACTTAAAAAATGCAAAAAAAAATAATAATTCGACGTCTTGTGTCATGAATGTAACAACGCAGGAAAAGAAAATTAATCAAAACCAAACTTTTTCGAGGGGCAGGGATTCCTGAATCTTCATTTTTTTGCTTGAATTGCAGTTTTAAACTCTTTTGAAAGACCGTTATTTCTGACTTCCACAACGGATAAAGCCACTTATTTATTTACCTAAGCATGTGTCTCCCGCTTACTTTTTATTTCCGTTGTTTTTTCCTATAAAGGTACGAAGCCATTTTTCTTAAGTGCTGCTCTTCCTTCCGTGGTTCCTAATTTTACAGGTCGTCAGAGCGAGTGTGAGGAGATCATCAGACACGTGACTTCCGAGTCTACCCGACTGGTGTCGATCTGCGGTTCACCTGGATTCGGAAAAACGTCTGTCGCGATTGCAGTGGGACACGCTGTTCAGTCTCAAGGAATTCCTGTTTATTGGATCTCATTACGAGGACTCCATTCCAAAGCAGATCTAACTTCAAAGTTTCTTAGTTTTCTGAGGCAACCCACCACACATACCAAACTGCCCGATCAGCGTTTATCCATTAATGATGAGATTTGCCTACTATTCAGTGAAATTTCAAAGCCATCTGTAGTTATTCTTGACAATGCAGATGATTTGCTTGAAACTGGTTGCCCGAAATTAAAAGAAGAGACCATACAACTTTTTGGGGAAATTCTTAGGCGAAATCAAAAGGTTACATTTGTTATAACCGCAAGAGAGTCTCTTGACTATATGGACCTTAATTTTCAAGGCCATTGGGAGTTAAGAATAAAACCACTGGATGACGCCTCTGCTCAAACTCTGGTTTCTGAATTACTTCCAAATGCAGGCGTTGCAGACTCCACTCAAATCGCGCACATCTGTGGACAAGTCCCTCTAGCCGTGAGATTAATGTGTTCTTTAGTATCTGAAGAAGACAGTGCTCAACCGCGCCATTTTCTAGATGTTTTCATGACGTCTTCGACAGCAGGTCTCGTTGGAATTTTGGACAATCCAGATTACCCAGCTAGTCACCGATTACAGTTCTTGTTTGACTCCTCTTTCCAGAGACTAACTGCGCATGAACAAGAAGCACTTGTATCTTTGAGCATTCTTCCCGACAACTTTAGCACAGAGATGGCGGCAGCTGTTTTAGGTAAGACGGAGCATATCGAATCGACGAAGATATTACAAAGCTTTCGGAGGAAATCGCTGATCGATTCAAGCTCTAAACCGGGGGCATTCACAATGCACAAGCTTCTCCAATTGTTTGCAATAGAAAAGGGAGAACAAGAGATGAAAGAGACGATTGTCGATTCTCAGGGTCGTTTAAAAGCGTTCTACATTTCACTATTTGAGAAGCTAAATCAACAATTTCTTACGGGGCATTCAATGGCCGCATATATTGCATTCTACGAAGATAAGGAAAGCATTATTCAAAGTCTTGTGGAGGGCTGTTCAGATTTCAAAACAGCTGACAGTGTTTTCGATATTTTGGTAAGAGGGGAGATGTTTCTTGATTCACTCTTCTGGAGTCCGAGTGAAGGTAAAAACTTTGATTACGTATACGATGCAGCCATAAAAGGAGCCAGTGAACATAAGAAGGAAGAATATCTCAGTCAACTCCTTATCTCCCGAGCTTTCAAGGAGCTAGCGTACGGAACAGGAGGAAAGACAAAATATTTTCTTTCTAAAGTGAATGAAATTCAAGACGCATCCCCCAATGTCCCTTTACACGAAAGAGGCAAGTACTTGTGCTACTTGGGAATCAGTTACCTTTTTATAGCGGAAACAAAGATCGGAGTCGAGTGCTTAAAAGAGGCTCTGTCATCACTTGACAATTGCAAAAACCCAGAGCAAACAATTCTTAAGCTTCTTATTTTTCAGATACTTACCGTTTATTATCGGTCCCTGAATGACTTCTCTAACGCAAGAAAGTTTTATGACAAGGCACTACACGAATGCAGTGGAGTTGGGGATTTGGATCTACTTGTCATCTCATCGATGATAAGGGAAACAAAGGAAACTACCAATAAAATTCATTTTCATAGCGACTCGGAAGTCTGTCGAAATCAACCGCTTAAATGCGAAATTGCCTTTCTATTAAGCGAAGCAACCAAGCCCTTTTCTGATTCTGACACCAACCAATATACAAGCAGCCTGGTTCTCCAGATACTACAAAGTGTTGAAAGAGAAGTTAAAATTTCAGTTGGTTTGCTTAGTTTCCAAAGAATTGTGACGCACATTTTGTGGCTTTTAAGTTCTGAAGACCCTGTAAAACTATACATCTCAAGAATCAATTACCACCAAACACTACTGAAAAAATGCAAAAACAGTTCATGTGGGCTGAAAGAAGAATCAAGCGGCTTTACCCATATACAAAATGAGGCACTTGCCAAGTGCTACGAAGACCTGGCTGAAGTTTACAAGAAAAAACTGAACTACCCAGAAGCTCTACAAGCACTCCAGGAAGCCCTTTTGGTAAGAATAACGCATTTTGGAGAGCAACATGAAAGCACTGCTCACAGCTACACTTCACTCGGGGTCACACAACACGCAATGCATGACTACAAAGCGGCTCTTCAGTCTCACCACCGAGCATTAGCTATACGCATAAAACTGTTTGGAGAAGAACATGAAAGCACTGCTGACAGCTGCATAGGACTCGGTACAACACAACACGAACTGCATGACTACAAAGAAGCTCTTCAGTCTCACCAGCGTGCATTAGCTATACGCTTTAATCTGTTTGGAGAAGAACATGAAAGCACTGCTGACAGCTACAGCAAACTCGGTGTAACACAACACGCAATGCATGACTACAAAGCAGCTCTTCAGTCTCACCAGTGTGCATTAGCTATACGTATTAAACTGTTTGGAGAAGAACATGAAAGTACTGCTGACGGCTACAGCAAACTCGGTGTAACACAACACGAAATGCATGACTACAAAGCAGCTCTTCAGTCTCACCAGTGTGCATTAGCTATACGCATTAAACTGTTTGGAAAAGAACATGAAAGCACTGCTGACAGCTACAAGGGACTCGGTACCACACAACACGAAATGCGTGACTACAAAGCAGCTCTTCAGTCTGACCAGCGTGCATTAGCTATACGCATTAAACTGTTTGGAGAAGAACATGAAAGCACTGCTGACAGCTACAGGGCACTAGGTGTAACACAACACGCAATGCATGACTACCAAGCAGCTCTTCAGTCCCACCAGCGTGCATTAGCTATACGCATTAAACTGTTTGGAGAAGAACATGAAAGCACTGCTGACAGCCACAGCGAACTCGGTGTAACACAACACGAAATGCACGACTACAAAGCAGCTCTTCAGTCTCACCAGTGTGCATTAGCTATACGCATTAAACTGTTTGGAGAAGAACATGAAAGCACTGTTGACAGCTACAGGAAACTAGCTGTAACACAACACGCAATGCATGACTACAAAGCAGCTCTTCAGTCTAAACAGCGTGCATTAACTCTACGCATTAAACTGTTTGGAGAAGAACATGAAAGCACTGCTGACACCTACAGGACACTAGGTGTAACGCAACACGCAATGCATGACTACAGAGCAGCTCTTCAGTCTAAACAGCGTGCATTAACTATACGCATTAAACTGTTTGGAGAACAACATGAAAGCACTGCTGACACCTACAGGACACTAGGTGTAACACAACACGCAATACATGACTATAAAGCAGCACTTAAGTCTCACCACCGTGCATTCGCTATACGCATTGAACTGTTTGGAGAAGAACATGAAAGCACTGCTGACATCTACAGGACCCTAGGTGTAACACAACACGCAATGCATGACTACAAAGCAGCTCTTCACTCTAAACAGCGTACATTAGCTATACGCATTAAACTGTTCGGAGAAGAACATGAAAGCACTGCTGACAGCTACAGGACACTAGGTGTAACACAACACGCAATGCATGACTACAAAGCAGCTCTTCAGTCTCACCACCGTGCATTAGCTATACGCATTAAACTGTTTGGAGAAGAACATGAAAACACTGCTGACAGCTACAGGTCACTAGGTGTAGCACAACACGAACTGCATGACTACGAAGCAGCTCTTAAGTCTAAACAGCGTGCATTAGCTATACGCATTAAACTGTTTGGAGAAGAACATGAAAACACTGCTGACAGCTACAGGTCACTAGGTGTTACACAACACGCAATGCATGACTACAAAGCAGCTCTTCAGTCTAGACAGCGTGCATTAGAGATACGCATTGAACTGTTTGGAGAAGAACATGAAATTACTGCTGACACCTGCGTGGAACTCGGTGTAACACAACACGAAATGCATGACTACAAAGCAGCTCTTCAGTCTCACCAGCGTGCATTAGCTATACGCATTAAACTTTTTGGAGAAGAACATGAAAGCACTGCTGACAGCTACAGGACACTAGGTGTAACACAACAAGCAATGCATGACTACAAAGCAGCTCTTCAGTCTCACCAGCGTGCATTAGCTATAAGCATTAAACTGTTTGGAGAGGAACATGAAAGCACCGCTGACAGCTACACGACACTAGGTGTAACACAACACGCAATGCATGACTACAAAGCAGCTGTTCAGTCTAGACAGCGTGCATCAGCTATACGCAAAAAACTGTTTGGAGATAGAAGAACATGAGAGCACTGCTAACAGCTACAGGGAACTCGGTGTAACACATCACGGAATGCATGACTAGAAAGCAGCTCTTCAGTCTCACCAGCGCGCCTTAGGTATGCGCATTAAACTTTTTGGAGAAGAACATGAAAGCACTGCTCACAGCTACAGGACACTAGGTGTAACACAACACGCACTGCATGACTACCAAGCAGCTCTTCAGGTCTGAGCAGTGTGCATTAGCTATCCGCAAAAAACTGTTTGGAGAAGAACATGAAAGCACTGCTGACACCTACAGGACACTAGGTGTAACATAACACGCAATGCATGACTACAAAGGAGCTCTTTAGTCTAAACAGCGTGCATTAGCTATACGCATTAAACTGTTTCGAGAATAAGATAAAAGCACTACTGACTCGGTAATCGAACCCAATCGAACCCAATCGCTCGATTGGGTTCGGTAATCGAACTTAATCGAACTCACAAAAGAATTTTGCCAATCGAACGCAATCGAATGTTCGGTAATCGAACAGTTCAACAATCGAACATAATCGAACACCTCAACAATCAGAAACACGAACCAGTTTCATCTGGTCTGAAACAAAGCGTTGCTGTCAAATAAGTTATTTACTGGCTTCTATTTCAAACACTAGTATAACAGGCAAGATGTCTGACAGGGCAGAGGTGAAACTTACTATTCTGGAAGCGGTGCTAAAGGGCTAGTTATCTAAGCGACGCTTTAGCGACGACGGTATAAATCTTTTAAAAATATCCCCGTTCGGTGTTATCCCGTGCGATATAAAGACAGTTTACATGTTGTACTGAGCCGTTCATGTTATATTTATATTGTGAATGAATCAATTTCGAATCAGCTAAACAATGAAGATTTTAGTTCATTGAAATGTGTTAATATCTCTCACACTTGCTCCTCTAGTTAAAACTCAGTTAAAGAGTGAATTCCTTCCAATGCTCCTAAGAGTTAATGCTTATCAATTTTGTGTACCATTTTGTTTTTCTACCGAACAAAATCGAATTAATCGCGTCGATTGAGTTCGATTGGGTTCGGTAATCGAACGTAATCGAACTCACAAAAAAGCTCCAGTTCGATTATGTTCGATTGCCGAACCAATCGAACTCCAATCGAACGATTGGGTTCGATTGGTTTGTGGTTCGGTTTCGTTCGGTTGACTACGTTGGGAGGACACTAGGTGTAACACAACACGCAATGCATAACTAGAAAGGAGCTCTTCAGTCTCACAAGCGTGCATTAGCTATACGCATTAAACTGTTTGGAGAAGAACATGAAAGCACTGCATGCTGACAGCCACATGCATGTGAAGGTGACTCAAGGAATGATACGTAAAGATCGGAAAACGCACCAAAAATGTGCCATTTGCATCCTGTTTTAAATGGTCTTTTGTTCAACAGTGTGTTACTTGAATTTTTTCTCGCATCTTTTTTGTATCTTTTTTTCTTTCATTTTATTTGGTACCATTTTAAAACCTTTTTTACTCCCAAACCTTCAGTCGGGTTGAACCTCCCGTAAGCGACTTCCTAAAATGCAAAGGCGTGGTGGTCGCTTACGAGAGTTGGACTGCCAGGGCGAAATCTTTAAGTCAACCTAGAATGGAGTGGTATATTTATTCTAAAATAAGTTTTCTTTCCGCTGACAATTACTGCTAGTTTTTAAGACAAAATCATTAGCTATTATATTTGACAGTTCATTTAAGGAAATGCAATTAATTAGATAACGCGCGTTATAAATTTGCGGTTAAAAAATTTTACTTGTGTACGTGACATCTTGTACAGAATTTTGCCTGAAACACCTTGAAGCCTTGAAATCTGTGTCTTTTTCTAAGGGTAATAGTTAATATTGTAGTTTTAGATCGAACTAATAAACAGAATAATTGATAGGTAGACAATAATGACAGGCAAGGAATAAATTTCGTTTTGTCTATTTTTACTTTGTACTTCACTGTTTAGTAAGACCATGTGTCAAGTGGTCGCTTACCGGAGGTTTAACACAGTAGAAAATTCTAAAACTGTCAGCCGAAGAAGTGGTCGCGGTCGCTTACGGGAAGTGGTCGTTTACGAGAGGTTCTAGTGTAAGACTTTGACTGAGAACATTTTTAGTGTTTTGGGAAGGTGGTCGCAGGTGGAGGTTCGACTGTATTTGCATTTTGGAGTGCTTAATTAAAGCTTAAGTGTCTGTGGTTAAAAGACGTACTGCAAGAACGGGTTTGAATGCTTTAGTAAAGTATTCCGGGGCCTTGTTGTAGAAATTGCAGTTGTTGCGAGAAGAAGAGAGACGTGTGCGCTCACAGTGACGGAGATGACTGAAGTGGTTGCCAGAAGCAGTCGTCTACACGTACATATTGTTGCAGTAGTTCCAGGTGCTTGCGGCAGTCACAATGTTTGCGAGCAATAGAAAGACTAGGGCACGTACAATGGATCAGCTGGTTGCAGTAGGTAAGAGGTTGCGAGTAGCAAAGAGTTTTGCACACGTACAGGCGGTTGCAGTCTGTACAAATTTTGGATCAATTTAGCTTATTAACACTTACTTCTCATTTAGGGCAAAATGTTGGCTTAGGGGAAGGGTAGGTGGGCAGTTTCTCAGAGACCTAAATTGATCTCAATTTTTTTCCAGTCTCAGCTTTGGAGGTTTTTTTTTTTGGTCAAAGGCTCGTTACTAGGCTCTAGGCTTTGACCGCTTAAACTGTGCAAACATTTGCACGGTTGAGATGTGTACAGGAGTCCGCATAAAGGTGGAACCGTACTCTTAACCTGTCAAAACTGCTGATCAGGTTAAAAACTTGCACAGTGTGCCGTTCAAAACCTTGCCCGGCTCCGCGGGTCCCGTGTAATCGAAAGGAGGATCCGTGCAAGTTTTTGTCCGTTCAAAAATTTGTCCGGGACCGTGAAAATGCATGTGCTATTATTGAAAAGAAAGAAAATGTCTGTGTAAACGTTTTTAGAAATCGTTAATTTTGAACTATAGTTTCTAAACCTCATAGGCACGTTATTCCGGCCAGAGTTTGCTTGCACTAACGTTACACAAAGGAATAGTCGGCCTCCCTTTCTCCCACATAGGGAAAACTAAGGTGCAAACTCCGAGTTCTTCTGCTGTGATGCTCACTGTTGAGCCTAAATAACTTATCTATATAGTCTGGTTATTTACCTTTTATGCGCATTATAGGCGAAAATACACTTCTTAGTGTGGGATTGAGGATATAAGGGTAACTGACTAAGCCTAATAAACAGGTCGACAGTAGAATGTCATGGCTTGTCATACATCTAGGCGGATTACTCTAGCTTGGCAGTTTTGAAGCCTGAAAATCCTACTGACATTATACTAATTGCACCCTGTCCAAGAGATACAACAATTAAACATTGACGGCCGAATTAATCAGGGGCACCCAGCGACTTTTTTCTGTAAAATAACTGTTCGAAGGGGCAAATATTGCCTAGAAATATCTAAAGCTTGAGAAAAGCTAAAAACATTCTGGATAACCGTTCAATTCGTCTGAAATATTCGGAGGTTTTCTAACAGCTTAACTACGATTTTCGGAGGTTGTGTTAAATAAATTGCGATTATTGCGATTATTGTTAAAAAAGGTCTCCTAAAACTTTTTTTTTCGGTATAAAGACAAAAGGTTCCCTCTAATTTTCTAATGAAAGCACGGCTACTTCATGTCCTCGAACTTTCGACCGGACCAATAAGGGTAGCTAACACTTTCCGATGAGATGAAAAAGCCACCGCTACTGAAAACTTTCGTGACGTCCAAAGTTCCCTTAAGGGGGAGTCTGGTTACATTTTGAGCCCAAATTTGTCACAGATTGTAAAGCACATAAAACTCCAGCTATTTTATGTATCTTCATAGAATTTTTCATTCAAATAGACCAGCCCACAGTCTAATGTGGCATATGGTTTACATGCCATGATAAGCAAATTTATGGTTAATTATTAACCAAGTTCTTCATGGAGGCTTTTTTCCACCAATTTCATGCCCCCATACTTTTTTTTCTTTTCTATTTACAAAGTAACCACGACATTTCCCACAATAACACTAAACACATGTAAGACGGCCAAAACGGTCGATGCAAGAACAACAGATTTGAGCTTAAGTTTTACGAGTTTATTGAACAAACAGGAAAAACAGGAACGAGAAACTAAAATACAAAAATAAAGCAAAAACTACAATAAGCTAAACAGTATTTACAAGCTAAATATTAGAAACAAGAATAAGACTAGATAACTGATTGCATAATGCTCACTAATAATTGCATTTAAAAAGGGCAATTACATTACTTACAATAACTATAAAAGTGACTTAAAAATGTAAACAAACCAAAAGCTGAGTATAATCTGAGAACTATTACATGAAGTGCAAAATAGACAAGAACAAGGGATTCGGATTACATGTCTTGCATAACAATACAGCATGACTAAGCTAATAACTAGTACAATGAAACTAAACCACGAAAAGTAATGACAAAAGGATAATTTGGAACAAAAATGGATTGAACACAAGGGAACAATTACAGAAAATGATTGGAAACCAAAGGTAAGCGATGATACAGTAACTATTGGTGAGAACAATAGCAGAATGTTTAACAGGCAAATTACATGCTGTGCCAGACTAAAGGTCAAATGAGGTAAACATCCTAAACAGAAAGCTATTGAAAATGCGGCTGAATTATAAAATAATATTGCTACAAACTAGGGAAATAGAAAGCTAATAAACTAAGCTAAAAGGACTAAAATAATAACAAATAGGAAAATAATGTAACATACCAAATGTTATTGATAACTAAACATCCGTGGGAGACTTGAAAATGTACTTGCCTTGAGGACTTGCTCTACTTAGGTAAACCAACTGAACCAACTGAATTTACTGAGCAAATGGTTGCCAATTTATAATAAATTTGGAGGAAAATCGAAAATAACTAAAAACCAAATAAGGCTAGGGAGTGAATTTACTGCCCACTAATACAGGATTTACCTAAGGAAACTAGGTGTTTAC